ATTAGACTCATTAAAATTCTAGCTCCCTTTCTATATGCCTTGAAGAAGGGATAGATTGTGATCTTACCATGCAAACCTGACCCATCTAAAGAAAATCATTCTTATGTTTCCATCATAATTTCTGAGTCCAAATCCCATGAGTTCTCACTGGCCACTAAAATAACTCACTTCAGGGGACACAGTGAATCACCAAAGGACAAGCAGAGGATTCTTCTTGATCAGAGACTTTCCAGAACTTTGAGGATACTCAGAGAAAGGCTGACTCCCAAGATTATAGCTCTGAGCCCAGAGATAATGGTACCATCTTGGCCCTGAGTGTATTTAACAGACATGCTTTGTTAAATGCTGAGACTAGAATCCACTTTGCACAAAAAGGGTCAAATATATCCCTATTCTACTTGTTTCCAATTTTCTTCTTTGTTTCTCACTGAGAGGACAGCCAGGTGCCAATGGCCTAATTTTATTTTATTGCTACCTTTGCTGGATAGATGTAAAATACACACTCTGGAAAATTCAACTGGACTGTACCATACTGAAATGAATGGTCTGAACTATAAGACATGGAGTGAAGCAAAATCGATTTTACCCCTTAATTATTTCTAGATCCCTTCTCCTCTTTGCCACCCTGACCTGCACTGCCTAAGACCCTGGCCTCTTCCCTGGACTCCTGCCTCCTGACTGGTCTACTGGTCTGTGTGATCTTAGATGCTTCACTCTCTATACAATTGGTGGAATAATCTTACTACAACATAAATCTGATGACATGTCCTCTCCTGATTAATATCCTTCAACAATCTTCTCTTGGTTTCAGTAAAATCCATGAATTTGAAAGTCTTCATGATTTGGCCTCTACCTACACAATCCTTCATATAGAATACTCTCCTTTTTTTTTTTTTTTTTTTTTTTTTTTTAATTTGCCAGAGGGCACGTGTACTTGGTGGAAAGAGTCACAGAGAGAGGCGGTGGAGATAAATGAGAAAGCACCCCCCTGTGGGAGATGGTCGTGCTGCAATCACTTTTCTTCCCTTTCTCCTTTTAGGATTTTGGGCATGCATGCACATGAGCCCAGCATATATCTCAAGACGCTGGGTCTGGGACTTAAACTGCATAGCTGGCCATGGGGGATCCAGATACCTCAATCAACACACCATCACCTGGCCCCTTCTTTACAAGCTTTACCTTGGAGCCTTTACTAAGGTCACAGTATATATAGCAAAGTTTTACCTTCCAAAACACCCTCCAAGGGACCAGCAGTTAGCGTAATGGCTATGTCGCTGGACTCCCATGTAGTCGACCACAATTCGCGTCCCAGACCCAGTGGCTTAAAAACTCATGCCGGGCATGTATGCGTGCGTGCCCAAGATCCCAAGAGGAGAATGGAGGAGAAGGGATTGCAGCGTGGCCATCCCCCCTGGGGGTGATTTCTCGCTTTCTGTCTCTCTGTCTCTCTCTCTGTCTGGCGAGCATGTACACCCTATCGCAAAAACCTCTCCAAAGGGGAAAAAAAAAAAAAAAGCACCCACTAAAACCATATTGACACATACATACAATGGAATGCTATGTGGGGAATAAACATGACGTGGTAGAGTATAATCATTAACTCAAAGCAGTGTGTTGTGAATTTGAAAAGAGTTGCTATATGACCCATGTTATAGTCATCAATATCTTCCACATTCAACAAAAAGTGGAATTACAGTTTTCTCTGACTGTAGAGTGTTTCATCACCTGCAAGTCATCTCGTCACTGTGTAGGCAGCTGAGGAACTGCCAAAAGCTCAAATAGTGACAGGAAGTCTCCAGGTCTCCCAACTAATAGGCCATTTTCCTGATATGGAGTGTTTTAGGCCCTCTGTGGGCTTGCAGTTTGGGAAACAGCCCTGCCGTTTGCTGGCCACATAATGTGATTTGCCTCTTTCATCTATGTTTTCTCCAGTTTCCCTTCTGCTGGCCTCTTAATTCTTCATGGCTGTCTCCCTCCCCTCATATGCTTCTCTGCCTTGTTTCTTCCAGCTTTTAGTCAAGCAAGGCAGCTAAGGAACAGAAAATGAAACAGCAATTTCAAATCATTATTTCAAATCACATTTGCAAAGCTGCCATCCCTATCTAATGCCATCGATTGGCAGGGATTCACTGCCAGAAAAATCCAGACAAAATCTTCTTAAAGATGATTATGTGGCTCCACCCAACCTCCTGGAAGGGCACCATGAATGCAGCAAAGTAGAGAGGAGTCATGAGAGAATGAGGATCACTGTAAATTCCAAGTCCTGCGAAAGAAGAAGGCTTCCATTTTTCTGCAGAACAGTTTTGGGATCTGTGTTCAGGGGTGCCCAGAAGGAAGCTGAGATAAGTCAGGCACTTGGAGGGGTAATGGGCTCATAGAGTTGGCCTGCATTTCTAGAGTTCTCACAACTCAGTCAAGTTTTAATCCAGCCTTTGCCTACCCTTCTAACCTCATGCTCTTGTGTCCATCACAGAATCTCCAATGTCCAGATCAGAATTACTCAGAGGTCTCCACCTGCCATGTTTCCTTACCTGTATGCTTTGCACAACTTCCTTGGTTGATGTCATCTCACCTTTCCCGACTCCTCACATGATAATTCCTCAAACTACAGGGATAACATCTCATTTTTTATAAGACTTACCTAAGATGCCCTCTTTTCCTTGAAAAGACCTTTGACTGGTACTAGTTCGTACCAAACCTGACTTAATCAAGACCTAGGGGTATCTCCCAACCCCAAGGAGTACCTCGCCTTAATGCCGACCACACCATTAGGCAGCCTGGCCCCCCCTCCCTGCTGGGCTCTTGGATGGCAGGCCTCTCTCCTAGCGTTCACCCACCTTGCTGCTGGTTCAAGTGGTGCTCACTGTAGGCTTATCGGATTTGCTCAGCCACCTGGTCATGACCATAAACAACAGCAACTGGACAAATCTAAGTGTAGGGTTGTGATGAAAACCACCCTCTGACAATAGGAGTTTAGTTTAATGGAAAGTGGGGTGCTAGAAAAGTGCTGTTTGAGGACCAGGAGAGCAAACACCAACCAGCCTGCTATATCTGGAATCTTCCCCAGGGCTGTGCTTTCCCAGTTTTCAACCAGTTCTTCCCTGGTCAGCTGCTCCAGCTTTCTCCCTTCTGCACAGTGAGAATGAATCACCCATAAGTGTACAGTTATCAGGTGGCCTGTTCACCAAATAACCCAGTGAACTGTCAAGGCTACGTCCTGCACCCAATGGAAAGGAAGGAATTGTTTCTTGGGAATGGGGCATGAAGGATGTCCTAAGAAAGATATGCAGATGGTCCACTGCTCCCAGAAGTCCAACAGGGATCCATGGGGCGTACAAGGAGGGTGACAATGTGCTTCTCTCCACATTAGATCTCAAGGAATGGAACCTTCTTAAAATACTGGTATTGGAGAATATAACTTTCCTGAACTTACAAGGTAAATGTGAAGCAGGGAGAGAGAGAGAAGCATTCTAACTGTACCATATTAGAGTGTGGACGGACCCACACAACACCTTCCCCACTAAGACAAAGAAAAAAGTGCCCCTTGAGGACAAGGCCCTAAGACACTGGGTACTCACTGATTCTACTCTAAAAGGTACAGCCTAAAGGAGTAAACATCATATAGGTAAATATTGGTGATGGCTAGCATCGTTGATCATTTCAATTTCAAGCATAGTAGGAGTCTATTCATAGGAGAGCCATAAAAAGGTAGAAATCAAAGTTATCATCACCCAGATGAAAATATGAAGAATACTAACACTCACTATGTATAATAAATAAGGTACCAATAAGTCCTTACCTCAGGATAATGAAAAGTGAAGGGTGGTAGAACAGACATTAGAAGACTTCAGGAGCACTGGCTGCTCTTTTGCTCTTTAACTTGGCTAATAAAAAGTGAATTTTACCTCATTTTCACATGGATGAAGAGTTGAGGAGGGGAACTATCAATAATTGGGAATCGCCACAAAACAAAATAAATAAAAAACCCTAACACCCAAAGAAGAAAGCCAACAGTTAGCTGAATTTATTGGATGTGTGAAGCTCACATCTGTTCTTGGAAACATGATGGCATCTCCACACTCTCCATGATGCCATTATATTAATTACAAATCACGAGATGCAGAAGTATCCCACTTTTAATCATTTATCAAACACACTAAAGCCAATGAAAGGGGAAACAGAACGTTGGAAGTGAGCTTCTTAGAGTGTAATTTCCTAGAAGGGAAATTTATGGCCTGTACTTACTCTCCATTAGAGAACGTCTCACCTCTTTTATTAGTTTATTCATCAAGACGGCCCTGGTTTCAGGCCGGCTCTGCGAACCCACAGGTCATCAGGAAAGGGATCCTCTGGGGGATTTTCCTGCAGGTCCAGTTGTGTTTTCCAGATCATAACACAGTTAACAGAAGCAGTCATGATGCATTCGGCAGGAGGTTTTTAGGTTTTCCCCAATAGGCAATTCACAGAGCAAGCCCCAAGGGCTAGATGGATATAAAGTGAACATCTAAAATGAACTTTGAAATGAAATGATTTTCTGTTTGCCATATGAGGTTTGTGATTGCCTCTCAAAGAGCACTGCTTCTATTTTTTTACGATCAGTTTCAATTTCTTATTTAGTGATGTAATAAAGGGGCGATTCAAAACCTAGCAACAAAACTTCCCAATCAATGAGCAAATCTATCCCTCATCCACTATGCACCTCTGCCCGTGATGCTTAAGCACCCCGATGCTGTACCCAGACATAGGCCATGTATCCCCCAAAACTGTTCCTACTTTCTTGAATAGCACAGCTATTTCTCTCTTTCCACCTCACAGTTTTCAGGCCCTGCAGAAAACAGCAACCTAATACCCACTTTGGGTTTTCTTTTGATCTCTGGGTTAAACCACTCTACCTACGAATAACAGAACTCTAATTTCAATGTGATGAAAGTTAACACCTGATATTTACAACTTGGCACTGGGGATGGCAATGAAGAAAAATATGAAAAAGAGCATCTTACCTTGTTTTAAGGATATTCAGGAATTGCAAAATTTCTGAAAACTGTATCAGCCTGAGGGCTCTTAAAAATCTCAAACCTGGAAAGAGAAATGAAATAGAGATGCAAAATTTTCAATGTGTGGTTTCAATGTTCTGAGTCCCGGGTTGAAGGGATAGGAAGTTCTTGCAGAAGATAAAACATCCGGTACCTTGACCGCGCTTCTTCATTCTGGGCCTTGACTAGTTTAATCTCAGCTAGTAAACACTGATTTTCTCATTAAAGATGAGCTATTAGGAATCACGTTACGAGAAGGACTGTTGAGAGGGGCCAGGTAAATGAGGTTTCTCAAATGAGAATCAATCTCTGATTTAAAGCATTGTTTCTAAGTTGCCTAGTTGTCTGATAGGATTTTGTCTCTAAAAAATGCTGGGAATTGTGAGAGCTCTGGGTCTCCCTGGTGCTATGAGCAGATTAAGAATAAATCGGATAACCTTATGTCTTTGATGGATATTTTTTATCTTTATCTTCGGCCCTGATAAAATGAAGAGCACAGCTCACGGTGTTATCTGTTTTTCACAAGGTTCTGAATTTTTCTTCCAATCAGAAACAAAAACTACACAAAATCCAATCAGTACGATATCATACCCCATAACCTCAGGACTCAAGACTTAAAATTTTCACTTTTCTTAAGTGTCAAGATATATGTTTGCCATTTTTAAACCAACAACTTTTCTTGAATGGAAAAGAAAGCCAGTGTTTCTAGGTGGCAGGTGAGAGGAAGTCAGAGAAGGAAAATACAATCAAGTGAATTAAAAAAAAAAAATACAAATTATTATTGTGTTTCTATAGCCAAGACAGAACTATATCTTTGTTAATGTCAAATTCATGAGTCAAAAACATTCTGAGTCAGCCATGGCTTTAATGCTTCTTTGGCCATCATACTGGAGAATTATTGATATTTACAAAATACTAATTATCACAGCTTTGAGACACATTGAGTATCACATCCTCTCCCAAGGGGATTTTCTTTTGATATACTATGGAAGCAGTTTAAGAAATGCCATTATGACTGGGTAGACCAACAGCTCCAAGCTGGTGGGCAAGATTTTATTCTCCTTCTACAAGGGAGGCAGAAAGAGGGTTCGGGAGGGGGTCTCTGTGCAGTAGTGGAAAGAACTGGGATTCACCCGAGACCTCATGATGTTTCCTTATATACCTATACTTGAACAAGCAATCTTTTAACTGGGTCCAATGGGGAACTGTTTAAGGAACACACAAAAAATTGACTTCAAGCCCATGGGGTGGAGGATTTGATTTCACCAGAAAAGAGAGAGGAAAGGATAATATCTCAAAAGGGATATTTCTCAACTGAAAAGAATTTATAGCCAGTTTTCTGCATTTGCAGTTCAACCAACTGTGGATCAAAATGTTTGGAAGGAAAGCAAAAAAACCTATAAAAGATAACACTACAACTATGAAAAATAATACAAAATATATATATATAGGGACCAGCAGATGGTGTAGCAGTTACTTCTCTAGACTCCCACATGGCTAACTATAATTTGAGTTCCAGACCTGGTGCCTTGAAACTCACACCTGGCACATGTGCATGCATGCCCAAAATCCCTAGAGGAGAATGGAGGAGAAGGGATTGTAGCATGGTCACTCCCCTTGGGGGTGATTTCTCACTTTCTGTCTCTATCTCCTATCTCTCCAGCAAGTGCACATGCCCTATAGCAAAAATCCCTCTTAAAAAAAAAATACAGTATAGTATGTATAATCTCTTTTTTTTTTTTTTGGAAGGATTTTTTCTAAAGGGGCACATCAGACAGACAGAGAGAGACAGAGAGACAGAAAGTGAAAAATCACCCCCCAGGGGGGATGGTCATGCCGCAATCCCTTCTCCTCCATTCTCCTCTTGGGATCTTGGGCACGCATGCACACGCACCCGGCGTGAGTTTTAAGCCACCGGGTCTGGGACGCGAACCGTGGTCAACTACGTGGGAGTCCAGCGACATAGCCATTACGCTAACTGCTGGTTCCCGTATGTATACTCTTTACATAGCACTTACATTTTATTAGGCATGACAAATAATATAGAGATGATTTAAAATACCTGTATGTGCATGGGTTATATGCAAATGTTATGCCATTTTATATAAGGAACTTTAGCATCTGCCTGTTTTAATATCTATAGGAGGTCCTAGAACCAATCCTCTTATCATAGAAACCAAGAGACAACTGTACCTTCATGAGCAAAAGATTTTTTTACAGAAAACATTAATCTTCTATGCTAAAAAATATTTATAAAACTACTATTAAACAATAAAATGTAGAGAAGGGTTGTTGATGAAATGAAAGAGCTCTGAGGCCAAAAATCCAATCATGATGAAACTAATGAAAGGTTGACTTAACATTGCTGAAAACTGAACTTAATGTCAGGTATAAAACTGAGGAGTAATCTCAGAAAGCAGAGAAAATGGGGAAAAGGAAGAAAAAATAGATGAAACTTAAGAAAATGGGAATGGAGTCAAGATCACAGAGATCCAACCTGTGCATAAAATGTGTTCCAAAGCAAAGAACAAACAACACAGATTATACACAATGGCCAGACAGAAGGGAAAAATAACTTTATATATATATATATATGAAAAAATTTACCCAAGATAAAAACATGAAGCAAATGACCAGTTCTTATAGATCCCAAGAATTATTTGGCTTTTTCCCTCCAAATGTCAAGAATTAAAACCAATGAAATAATAAAAAGAAAACAATGTGTGGGGGCCTGGGGTTACCATTAATGTAACTAAGATCATTTTTTGTAAGAATGTTAAACAATAATTAGACAATACTGAATTTTCAAATGAGTCTGACCCAAGGTTTTATACCCAGTCTCTTAAGTGGTTGTTGAAGAGTAAAGCAACAACAATAAAAAAAAACGTTTCCAGATACCCAAGGTCTCCATTCAGTTTGTGCAGAAAATTTCAGAGAGGTTTACAAGACCTACTAAATCAGAATGCAATGTGAGGGCAGGAGTGCAAGGGCTAGAAATTACATATTTTTTCTGTTATTGCTAGAGGGTTTGTGCATGCATTCACCAGAGAGAGATGGAGGGAAAAGGAGAAAGCACCCCCGATTAGGTGTGGTCAGACCATGTTGATTCTCTTCCATTTCCCCATCCTGTTAGGACTTGGGGCATGCATACATATGTGCTTGATTTTCAAGTCACCAGGGCCAGGACTCAAACCACAGTTGGCCATATGGGATCCAGCCTCCTTAACCTCTAGGACACAGGGTCACCTGGGAAACTGCATCTTTAATAGGTGTTTGTACTATGCACTCAGGTGAACCTGAACTGCATATCTCATAGTGGCATGATTGTCACATGTTGCTGTGACATAAAATAACAGTTAGAAATCTAAAGTAGAAAAAGACTGGCTATTAGCACTAAAACTAGTAGCAAATGTAAAGACACACTAGTGATGTATTAGTGCTTAGGTTTGAGGCTGAAAAACTTGATGGGGCGGGAGAGGGAGGTCTTCAAAAGTTCATAAAAAATGCGTACTATTAAAAATATATATGCATGGATTTCAAAATTGGTAACAAAATCAACTCTATACACAAATTCCATTTTCCCACGAACTTTTTGAAGTCCTTCCTATTTATTTATTTCAATTTATGGAAGCAAAAATAGAATACATGTGATCCAAACTTAGAACTGAATTTCTTTTATTATTTATTTATTTGCCAGAGGGTGTGTGCACTTCCCAGAGAGAGAGAGTGACAGTGAGAGGGAGAGGGATAGAGAACCCCACAATGGGGCATGGTCATACTGCAATCCCTTCTCCATTTCTTCATCCTGTTGGGATTTGGGGCACACACACATGCACTCATGTTTCTCAAGCCCCTGGGGCTGAAACTCGAACCATGGTTGGCCATGTACCATCCAGTTCCCTTAACTACTAAGCCAAGAGGCCAGTCCCTTTTATCTTTAACAGATGGTGTTTAACATACTTTTTACCTATTTGTGGCTTGCCACATGTTACTGAGTCACAAAAATATTATTGAATACAAGCTTTTCATTTAACAGAGGCAAATGATATAAGGCTAAGAACAAAATGAATCCAGGGACCACAGGTCCTGTACTTTTGCTACAGGTAAACTGCAGATCTAGTTCTGAACACCCTCTCATCAAAAGCAAGGAGGGAGGTAGTATAAAGTTAATAGTGTATATATAAAGAAAAAACAGGGCCAGCTGGTAGCATAATGGTTACGTCGCTCAACTCCCATGTAGTCGACCATGGTTCAAGTCCCAGATCCAGCAGCTTAAAACACACTGGGAGCATGTGGGTACATGCCCAAAATCCCAAGGGGAGAATGAAGGAGAAGGAATAGCGGGGTGGCCATCCCCCGGAGGTGTGATTTCTTGCTTTCTGTCTCTCTCTGTTTCTCCAACAAGTGCACATACAGAAAAAATCTCTCAAAAAGAAAAAAAGAAAGAAAAGAAAAGAAGAGGAAAACACACTGGGCATTTGTGTGTGCATGCCCAAAATCCTGAAAGGAGAATAGAGTAGAAAAGAAGAGATTGTAGTATGACCACTCCCCATGGGGGCAATGCTTTTTTTCCTCTCTGCCTTCCTTCAGCATGCACATGCACCCTTTAGCAAATTATTATTTTTTGGGGGGGGAGAAGTTTTTGCTATAGGGCGCATGCGCTCGCCAGACAGACAGAGAGAGACATAGAGACAGAAAGCGAGAAATCACCCCCCGGGGGGATGGTCACGCCACAATCCCTTCTCCTCCATTCTCTTCTCAGGATCTTGGGCACACACACACACGCACCCGGCGTGAGTTTTAAGCCACCAGGTCCGGGACGCGAACCGTGGTCGACTACGTGGGAGTCCAGCAACATAGTCATTACACTAACTGCTGGTTTCCTACAAATTAAAATTTTTTAAAAAATTTAAAAAAAAAAAAACTTGTTTTCAGGAAAACAGTTTTTCCTAGCAGAGAGACTTAAAGGGAAATACCCTCCTGCAAAAGGGACCCAGAGTGATGCAGAAGATTCTCATGCGCTGAACAATAGCAGGCTTTGCT